GGGATTTTTTTCCCAACACTCCATCCATGGAAAATTCCTCAAATTCTCTTCCAAAGAACAGCCTTTTTTTTTTCAAGTCTTTTTGTGTTTTATTTTTAATTTTAGAGGTGAAGAAACCACCAAGTTCAGCTACAAATTCTGCACAACCCACAGCATTTTTCCACTTCCATTTAGGACTTTCCTAAAGAGATCCAAAGGAATTTTATCCCTGTAAATCAAGCCTATAATTTTGAAGCAATAACCTTTAGATTTACAACACAATCCCCTCCACCTCAGCCCTTAATTCAGCCACAAACTGGATTATTTATTCCCCCCACTCACATACTTCCCAGGTTTCCTAAACTCGGAGCACCGGAATTCCCAGAAAACCACATTATTATTACTCAAGCTGCAAAGTGGATTTTGTGGGAGGGAGGGAATGTGGCCTCTCCAAAGGACATCAAACTGCTGAGCTAGCAAAAAAAAAACCAAAAAAAAAAAAAGGAGCCTCCTCAGAGCATTTTCCTGCCTGGATAATTAGGATTTGGTTTGTATCCCGTTTTTTTTTCCTCCCTCCTCTTCCCACAGCTCCAATTCCTGCTGTTTGCACCAAAACCAGGCTCTTTTTTTTTTTTTTTTGCTGAGCCAGCACATTTCCCCTTGTTTTTTTTTAAAAATCTAATTAAGGAGTTGCACAAGTTGAGATTTAATGGCCTTTTTTTTTTTCCTTAATTAAATAAGACAGGGATGAAGCAGTGGGAGAAGGGGGATGGAATTCACCTCCCCCTGGAAGTTTTGCTGGCCTTGCCCACCTGGAAAACACCATTTTTTTTGGTGGATCAACTATTATTCCCTTAAATCATTCAAGGCCAGAAGTAGAAAGTCATTCTTAAAAAAAAAAAAATCAAAAAACTGGGAAAATATACAAAAAAAATGTATTTAAGGGTAGTTTTATGGTATTTTTTTATATTATTTCTTATATGACAGACCTGTTCAGTCTGGATATGTGATCCAATGTATTCCAGAAAAATTAAATAGAGACAAGAGATGCTGCAAAAGGTCATTTTGGGGTTAAAAAAAATATAAAATAGCTGCAAAAAAATGGTGCCAGTATTTTGGACCAAAATACTCCAAAGGGAAAGATTTCAATGAACTGGATTGTGATGGAGCAGTTGGAATCCAACAGCCTGGAAAGGGGACAGTGTTGGAACCATCCCAGAAATGCATCTTCCAGGGAATCAGGGAGTGGTTTGGGTTGGAAGGGACCTTCAGGATCAGCTGGAGCAGAACAGAATTCCCAGAAAAGCTGTGGCTGCCCCATCCCTGGAAGTGTCCAAGGCCAGGTTGGATGAGGCTTGGAGAAATCTGGGATAGTGGGAGGTGTCCCTGCCCTTGGAAAGGGTTGGAATGAGATGATCTTGAAGGTTCCTTCCAACCCAAACCATTCTAGGATTCTATGGAATCTGCATTTCTGGGATGGTGGCAACACTGTCACCTTTCCATGATGAGGATCATCAGTGAAGAAGGGAAAGACACCCCTGGATTTGCAGGTTCTGCCCTGCTGGAAGCACCAGGATGGGGATTTCTGGGAGGAAAACCAGGTTTGGATGGGATAGCAGGAAAAGGGACATCAACCACCGGGAAAGGCAGCCCAGGGAAGTGGGGGTGGGACCATCCCTGGAGGGATTGGAATGATGTGTGGATGGTGCACTTGGGAACACGGAAAAGTGGTGGCCTTGGCTGTGCCTGGGAATGGTTGGACTCCAGGATCTCAAAGGGCTTTTCCAGCATTAATGATTTTATGGGATGGTTTGGGTTGGAAGAGAGCTGAAAGATCATGGAATTCCAACCCCTCTGCCATGGGCAGGGACACTTCCCACTATCTCACATTGCTCCAATCTGGTCTTAGACACTTCCAGGGATGGGGCAGCCACAGCTTCGCTGGGAATTCCATTCCAGTCCCTCACCACCCTCCCAGTCAGGAATTTCTTCCCAATATCCCATCTAAAGCTCCCATATTTCAGTTTGAAGCCATTCCCTGTGTCCTGTCCCTCCAGCCCTTGTCCCAAGTCTCTCTCCAGCTCTCCTGGAGCCCCTTTAGGCCCTGGAAGGAGCTCCAAGGTTTCCCTGGATCCTTCTCTTCTCCAGGTGAACACCCCCAGCCTTCCTCCAGCCCTTGGAGCATCTCCATGACCTCCTCTGGACTGAATCCAACGTATCTATATCCATGTGAGCCACTTTCCAGATTATCAGACAGGAATTTTGCTCTCCCAGTGCCATCCCAGTACAACATTTCTTCCCATCATTCCATCTGCCCACATCCTGCTTTCTCAACAGCCTTCCAGGACTTTCCAAGTACAATTTTTAATTAAAAGGCACCGAAGGGAGAGCGGGAATTTCCGAGATGAATCCTTCCAAGCTGAGGGAAGGCCGAGTGAAACCCCAACCACGGCCACATCCAAGAGAGGATTATTCCCACACCCAACCAGATTCCCAGGGGATTTTCAGGAGAGCAGGACTCACCTGAAGAGGTTTTCTGCTCCCGCCCTCATCCTCATCTCCTTGTTGATCTGCTGGTTGATCCGGGCCCGGCGATGTTGGAGTTTGCTCCGTTGGGTCTGGGCAAAGGGATCACAGCCCTGCTGGGAGAGAAGGGCAGGATCTCACCAACCTCCCCCCACGTTTTGGGATGAAAAAGGGCACTTTTAGAGGCTGGAATAAGCGTGGAATGGTTTTGGGTGGGTGAGTGGACAAACATAGGGAGATCCTTCGGGCAGGGAAATGGAGAAGGGAGGAATCCTGGAATGGGTTGGGTTGGAAGAGACCTGAAAGATCATCCCATTCCAACCCCCTGCCATGGGCAGGGATACCTTCCACTAGCCCAGGTTGCTCCAACCTGGCCTTGGACACTTTCAGGGATGGGGCAGCCACAGCTTCTCTGGGAATTCCGTTCCAGCCTCTCACCACCCTCCCAGCCAAGAATTCCTTCCCAGTATCCCACTAAACCCTGTTGCCTGGAAGTGGGAAGCCATTCCCTGTGTCCTGTCCCTCTTTCCTTGTCCCAAGTCCCTCTCCAGCTCTCCTGGAGCCCCTTTAGGCCCTGGAAGGAGCTCTCAGGTCTCCCTGGATCCTTCCCTTCTCCAGGCTGGACATTCCCAGCTCTCCCCGCCTGGCTCCAGAGCAGAGGGATCCAGCCCTTGGAGCATCTCCGTGGCCTCCTCTGGACCTGCTCCAGCAGCTCCACATCCTTATGTTGGAGCCCAGAGCTGGATGCAGGATTCCAGGTGAGGGTCTCACCAGAGCGGAGCAGAATCCCCCCCTCTCCTGCTGCCCACGCTGTGGGATGAGCCCAGGACTCATGGAATTCTGGGATGTGAACACACAGGGATGACTCCCATTGAGTTTCTCCTCCACCAACCCCCCTCCCCCCTCCCAAGACCTTCCCCTGCACCTGAAATAAATATTTCATTCCCAAAACACATTCCTGACCATTTATCCCTCTAATCCCTTCGCTAAAAGCTTCCCAAACCCAACCAGGAACAGCAACTACACATCCCATTTCCAGAGTCTCCTCATCCAGACACCAGATAAACCCGGAGGGGCTGGAGATGAGCTCAGGAAAATCCTGGATCCCGAGTCTTCAAGCACTCCCATCCCCTGCCAGCTGGAGGGATATGGATATCCCCCATATCCTCCAGAATATGGAGTCCAAGGAGTCAGGAGCTCATGGGGCTGGAGGAACAAGTCCCACAAAGCCTTAAATTAAATTGATTCCATCCCTCCCTCCTTCCTTAGATTTGGCTCCTTCCCAAGGGAATGCACGGCCCTGCTACTCGTCCTGAATGGGGACTTCTCTAAAAGCTTCCCAAACCCAACCAGGAACAGGAACTACACATCCCATTTCCAGGGTCTCCTCATCCAGACACCAGATAAACCCAGGGGGGGGCCGGAGTGAGCTCAGGAAAACCCTGGAGCACGGGAACAGATGTGATCCCACATCCAGAAGTGCTTCCATCCCCTGCCAGCTGTAGGATATGGATATCCCCCATATCCTCCAGGATATGGAGCCCAGGGAGTCAGGAGTTCATGGGGGTGGAGGAACAAGACCCACAAAGCCCTAAATTGATTCCATCCCTCCCTCCTTCTTTGGATTTGGCTCCTTCCCAAGGGAACGCACGGCCCCACTACTCGTCCCAAATGGGGATCTCAGCAGGGAGCAACGCCTCTGATCAACCCCAAATCCAGCTTTTTCCTGGAATTATAGGATGGTTTGGCTTGGAATGGACCTGGAAGATCCCTCTGTCTGGCAGAGGTTATTATGGGATGCTCCAGGGAATGAGGTTGCCATGAGGAGCGCCTCCCAATCCAGGGCCACCAAAGCTCTGCCCGAGTGGAGACAATTCCCATTGTGCCAGGAGAGGTTTGGATGGATGGAATGAGCCTCTGGATAAAACATCCAACCCTGTTTGGGAAGGCACAAGGCTGGGAAGTTGAAGAGGATGGAGACTTCCATCTTTTCGCACCCCAGTGCAAAGCATGGGCAGATCCCTCCAGGAATCATGGAATGGTTTGGGTTCGAAGGGACCTTCAATATCATGGAATTCCAACCCCCTGCCATGGGCAGGGACACCTCCCACTAGCCCAGGTTGCTCCAACCTCACCTTGGATGCTTCCAGGGCTGGGGCAGCCACAATTTCTCTGGGAATTCCATTCCAGCCCCTCACCACCCTCCCAGCCAAGAATTCCTTCCCAATATCCCATCTAAATGTATGAAAATCCTCTGGAACACTAAAAGAAATTCCAGAGAGTCACATTTCATCCTCTTTCTTCCCTTGGAAGACCTGTTTTGTGGGCACATCAGTCCTGTTTCCCACTGTTTTCCCTCCACCATCGCCGGTGGATCTCTTGGCACCACATCAAGGTTTTGCCACCCAAGAGACTCCACAGAACTCCAACAATTCCCACTCTCATCCTGTCCAAAACGCCTTCCCTGCTTTATTCCACGTGGAAGTATCCAAGGACTTCACCAGGTCTCACCTCATCCTCAGGGAAGGGTCAAACCAGTCCCAAATCCAAGAAGGAATCCTGCCCAGAGAAGCTGTGGTTGCCCCATCCCTGGAAGTGTCCAAGGCCAGTTTGAATGGGGCTTGGAGTAACTTGGGATAGCGGGAATTGTCCCTGCCCAAGGACTTGGAATTAGATGGTTTTGAAGGTTCCTTCCCACCCAACCCATTCCAGGATTCCATGGAACACCTGTTTACCTCTCCAGAAAACACAGAAGGACCTCGTGGGACCTGGGAAAAACAAAAAAAATCACTTCTAACAAATATTTTTTTCCTGGAAGCAGGAAAGGAGAAAGAAATCCTGGCTCGAAAAAAAGCAGGAGCCCAGCTTGGATTGGCAAGTAGCGAATGGAAAATGTTTCATTTTCATGGATTTCAGCTGCCTTAAAATTCATTTCTCATATTTAAAGCCCACCAAGTGCTGCCTGCTTGGAAAAGGATCCAGGATTAACTTTGGGATTTTTATTTAAGTGATGGATTCAAGCTCCTAATTGGGAAATTGGAGCCTGAGGAACCAGAGCCCCTCCATCTGCTCCATAAATCTGTAGGATTAGTGCTTTAAGGTAACCCAGGAATGTGATAGAATCATTCAAGGAACAAGCTGGAAACATGAGATTCCAATTATTCTGGAAAACCTCTTAAGGAAAACACCCCAAAAGCTGCACAAATCTGGGATCTGAAACACTCGGGAGCAAATACAGGAAAGTTCGATCTCGAAGTTTGAGTCTGGATTTGCCCTGAAGGAACCCATCCACCCTGCAAACATTGCTGGAAAAACATCTAGAAATATGGAAAAGGATGAGGAATCCCACCCAGAAAACCCAGGAAGGGATCATTCCAGGTTTTCTCCAGCTGGGACATCACTGGAAATGATCCTTGGAAGAAAACCCAATCCAACCACGAAGGCAACACCTGAATTTGAGCCCCCAGAGACTCTCAAACAAAGGGGACACCCCCAAACTCTGGTCTAGAAAGAGCTGCTCATGCAGATGGAGCCCAAGATATCCATAATTATTTCTTTAATTAATTAAAAGCTGATTAAAAGCATTGCAGTTGATGACATTTCTTCCTACCTAAGACATTAACCCATATTTGGAAGTTAAAGCTTCCAAACTTAAAGTTGGAGCTTCCAAAGTCAAAATTTCAAGGTTTCCAGATGAGATCCATGTGAATTTGTCCGATCCAGAGCTGAGCAAGACAAATCCAGATGGAAATATACCCAAATATATGCAAATGAGGCAGGTCAGAACCACGGAAATCCATCTAAAACTCAACAGCCCCAGGAGCAACTCTTGGAGGTGGAAGCTCCAAACTCTTCCTGTGGGATATTTCACCACCTGAGACCTCTCCAGTCCTGGAAAAGGTTTCTTTGGAAGCAGTCAGAGGATTTTAAGGGGTGTTTTTTTGGGGGGAAGAGGAGCAAAAACTCCCTGAAAACACGGGCAGGAGGCCTGAGGACTGCAAGTGAGAGAAGAGGGAAGAACCACAGAGAAGGTCCATGAACAACTTGTGTGGAGGAAAGGGAAGGGAAAATGAAGGGAAAAAGGGAGATGAACAAGAGAAAACACCGGGATGGCTCTCCAAGATATTCCAAGAGTGTCAAGATGTCACTTCAGGAGCAATGAGGGGGTTTAGAAAGTTGATTTCTCCCTCCAAGAAAAACTTCCGTCAAGCTGGGAGGGGTTCTCTCCACCAGATTCCATGAGATTTATCCAATCCCATCCAGGCTCCTAATCCAACACCAAAATGCTCTGGAAAATCAGGTATTGGGGCATTTGATGTGAAATCAAAGCCCTGTGAGGACCTCGAGTCAGGCTCTCACTTCAGGACTTCTTGGGATCTCCACACACCTTGTTTTCCTCAGCTTTTATGGAGCTCTTGGGATTCCAGCACATCTGACCTCAAGAGGATTCCCAAAACATCATCCCTGCCTGGCATGGATCAATAAAAACCTCATTCCAAGGTAAAACCCAACCCAGGCTGCAGTTGCTCCTGGAAATGAAAAAGCATCCCAGAAATGATGTTATTCCATGGATCTCGGAGAAATTCAGCTCCAGAATTAAATGCTTGGTCCAGGTTAAGCCCCAGCTGAAAGAAAACACCATCCCAAGCGTAAAATATGATATTTAAATCAAAATATAGATGGGGGAAGCCGAGAGCGAAGAAGGGAACGTGTCCACCCTCCGACAGCTTCTGTTCAAAGGATCCCAAAAGCTTTTCCTGACCCAATTTGCAGACAAAAGCTAAAAACCACAGCGGGAGTTCCCAAATAAAGCAGGGATGGATTTAAACCCAACTTACATAAGGGAATAGGGGGAAAAAACTCACACCAAAACCCGCTTTCGGGTTATAAAAGGGATTTTCCTTCCTTAATTCCTCTTGGCACGGGAAGAATTGAGGTTGAGGTCGACCCCGGAAGGTCAGGAGAGAGAGGGGTTCTTTCAACCAGGCTTTGGGGTGCACCTGGGGACACCCAGGAGAGTGATTTGGGGTGTTTTTAAAGCTTTTTGGAAGGAAAAGAGAGGACAGAACTCTTCCATAAATTGTGTGGGAGCCGGGGAACAGCCCGGAATGGATGG